CGACAACAACAAACAAACTAGATTTGAAGCTTTCGTGACTGCAAGGATTCATATTTTAGGTTTTGTCGGTAAAGTCACGTAGGTAAAAAATTAAAATTAAATAAAAATAAAATAAAAATCACGACGTTTCGGTGGCAACACAAACGGAAGCTTGTGTTGCCTCTGAAACGTCGTGATTTTTATTTTATTTTTTATTTTTTACCTACGTGACTTTACAGAAAAAACCTGAGAATAAAAACAAACAAACTCTCAAATCTCCAATCACGGAGTGCGTGCCGCGATAATCTGACGCTCCCTTCACCCGGGTGTCAATGAAGTTGTACAGAATCTAGAATTGAAGCTGCAGGAATTACAATGCTCGTTGGTTCTTTCGGTAAAGTCACGAATGTAGAAATAAAATAAAATGTTAATACATCACAACTAAAATAAAAATTTGATATTGAAATTTAATTGTATTTTATTTGTGATTTATTTAAATGTGATTTATTTCTACATTACCGAAAGAACCAATGAATATAAGTTATACAGAATTTTGATCGCACGCGCGCGCACGCAGATACCGCAGTATAAGACGCACCTACAAATACCGCATTATAATACGCAACGACTTCGTTTTAACACACTCTACCGTACAAGGGAAATGAGTGCGTCTTATAATGCGGAAAATGCGGTGTTCGTAATTGTGTCGGGATGAGACCGCGCGCGCGCGCCTCCCATGAGCCCGTTTGGCTACGTACGGCGCGAAAGAAGTTCAGCATGGTGTGAACCACAGTACCGTCTCCAACTGCTGTCCGCTCTGCAGTTCTCTAGGCGTGTCTCTATTTCATTGCGTGCTACGTAGAAGGGTCATCGCTCTAAACGTCGCCTCTTATAAACTTCTCCTTTGAAGGCCACCACCAAAGACAAAGATCCCCCGTGTAGCCTTAACCGACTGTTGGGGCAAGTGCTGCTAGCGAGCACCTATGAAGGCTGGAACGCTACAAGAGCGGGTGGATGGCCAGCACCACGCTCGACCGCCTTTGTCTCCCTAGTGACGTCGTTTGCGCATAGGATACTCATTTGAGGCCGAGTCGACCTAGGGGGAGGAGGCCCAGGACCGGTTCAGATAATCGTCACGGGCGTTGGCCGTGAGCTAGAATCTAACCCGGGTCACCGGGTTCGAAGCGCAGCGCGCTAACCGCGACACCACCGCTCATCGCAAGGCTACCACCAAACATACACACGCACAAACACCCCCACACACACGCGTACGCACACACACGCTCACACACACGCGCACACACGCACGCGCACACACACGCACGCGCACACACGCACACACACGCACATACACACACGCGCACACACACGCACACGCGCACACACGCGCACACACACGAACACACGCACGCACACACACGCACACGCACACACGCACACACGCGCACACACGCACACACACGCGCACACACACGCACACACGCGCACACACACGCACACACACGCACACACACACGCACGCACACGGAGTGGCGTTGTTGTTGTTATTAACACGGAACGTGTTTGAGTTTTAAACACAATTATTATTATGATTATGTGTGCGCTTGGTGGTGCCATTGTTCTGCCACTGTTCAGATATCCGCCCGTCCCTCAGTCGCCAGCGACTCCCTACACCGCGGCGTTATTGCATGAATAATGCAACGTTATTACGAATACATTAACGAATGAGTTAGTACATTTGATATTCGCGCTGTGTGTTACAGGGGCAAGGCGATATAGATCACAAACGGAGGCGCTGCTGCTGCTGCTGTTCCACAGACACAGCATCCACAGACACAGCAGCCTGCAGTAGTTCAGCAGCAGGGGGTAGGAGGGGAGGCGATGTTGCTCCGTGAGGTTTAACGGAGAGTCATTGGAGGGTTACATTTCTAGCAACAACTTTTTTGTTGTTGCCAATGTTGTGCCGTGCCGCGGGCACCACAATGGGCCAACTCTTCGTCCACGTGCAGTGACGTCACGGGGTCTTTAACGTCCGCCGTGAAGCCGACGTTAAAGACCCCCGTTCGTGCACGCATCGTGTTCACCAGGGCGGCCGACGCGCCCGAACCGCGAACCTCTACAACAACAATGTTCGGCCGCGTGTGCCAATCCACTGCTGGATGAAGGTCTCCCCCACACCTTTGTAGCTGCTGTGCTACATCCCGAATTAGTATTTTATAATAAAAAAATAATTGGGTGATTCATCTTCTTGGTTCTTTCGGTAAAGTCACGTAGAAGGGAAGTAATCAAATAATGAAAATAAACCATAATAAAATAATATATTATTTTAGAATAATATATTATTTTATCATATTATTTTATTTATTATTTTATTATGTTTTTTTTTATTATTTTATTACTTCCCTTCTACGTGACTTACCGAAAGAACCAAGAAGATGAATCCCTGCAGTCACGAAAGCTTTAAATCGTAAAATTGTGTGATTCTTGCAGCAATCGGGCTGTGATTTTGACCACCACGCGTTACACTGGATGGGGTTGCTTTCTTCATTTGTAGCTACGCGAGGGAAAGCGGAGAACCCCGAGGAAGCCCCGTGCATGACAGAGGGAGAGAGAGAACGTAGACAAACACACTCGGAAAGGCGACACGAGTCGGGAATCGAACCCAGGTGCTTCTTGTTACGAGGCGCGGCTGTTAACAACTTGCGATGCCACCCTCAGACTCTCGCTCGCTTTCCCCCTCTAAACCTCAATGATTCCTGAAGAAGGCCAGGAGGCCAAAACGTCGAGATGTTAGTGGGGTTTGTAGTTGTTTTTATCTCTAATCTCGGCGGCGTAGCTATTGAGGTGTGTGCAGGCGGTGTAACTGCGTCTCGGAGTAGCCCAGACGCCAGGCAATGATGGGATGGGGTGGGGGGAACCGGAGGGGGGGGGGGGGGCACAGACTCACATAGAGACCCATAGACTCACATAGAGATCCATAGACTCAGAGCCATAGACTCACATAGAGACCCATAGACTTAGAGACCCATAGACTTAGAGACCCACAGACTCACATAGAGACCCATAGACTCACAGAGCCATAGGCTCACATAGATACCCATAGACTCAGAGCCATAGACTCACATAGAGACCCATAGACTTAGAGACCCATAGACTCACAGAGCAATAGGCTCACATAGAGACCCATAAACTCAGAGCCATAGACTCACATAGAGACCCATAGACTCACATAGAGACCCATAGATTCACATAGAGACCCATAGACTTAGAGACCCATAGACTCACAGAGCCATAGACTCACATAGAGACCCATAGACTCACATAGAGATCCATAGACTCACAGAGCCATAGACTCACAGAGCCATAGACTCACATAGAGACCCATAGACTCACAGAGCCATAGACTCACAGAGCCATAGACTCACATAGAGACCCATAGGCTCACAGAGCCATAGACTCACATAGAAACCCAAAGACTTAGAGACCCATAGACTTACATAGAGACCCATAGGCTCACAGAGCCATATACTCACATAGAGACCCAAAGACTTAGAGACCCATAGACTCACAGAGCTATAGGCTCACATTGATACCCATAGATTCACAGAACCATATACTTACTTAGAGACCCATAAACCTACAAACCCATAGAATCACACAGCCATAGACTCTCATAGAGACCCAAAGACTTAGAGACCCATAAACTCACATAGAGACCCATAGGCTCACAGAGCCATAGACTCACATAGAGACCCATAGACTCACATAGAGACCCATAGACTTAGAAACCCATAGACTCACAGAGCCAGACTCACATAGAGACCCATAGACTTAAGAGACCCATAGGCTCACAGAACCATAGACTCTTGTTATAGAGCAAAAGACTCGCATGGTGATAGCAAAGCACCATTGTTATTACTATTGGTAATTAACCTGAACCAGCCAATTGACACCAACTATGTGTACGGCAGTATACACGTGGGTGTGTGTGTGTGTGTACATGTGCGTATCTGTGTGCGTGTGTGCGCGTGGAGCGGTGGCGTAGTGGTTAGCGCGCTGAACTCCGAACCCGTCGAACTGTGTTCGACTCTGAGTCACGATTGAACCGGTCCGGGGCCTCCCCTAGGTCGCCTCAGTCGAGTACCTAGTAAGGCGTTTAAAGCGTCAGCACTGGGAAGACAAAGGCGGCCCGGACGTGGTTCTGGCCACGCCACGCACTCGTGCGCCGAAGAGGCCTTAATAGGTGCTCGCTAAAAGCACTCGCCACAATGTATTTGAGCCATTTGGGTGACCTTTTGCATTTGACGGTGTTGTGTTTGCGTGTAAATTGTGCATTTAATGTGATACATAGACAGAGCGACCCTGCCATGAATACAATGGCTAAGATCCGTGTCCTGGGTCTCGGGTTAGTGGTTACGGTTAACGGTTAGGGTTAGTATCTGGTTTGGTGTGATTACGGTTACATTGTTCTTGGTTCTTTCGGTAAAGTCACGTATCATCAGGTGACGGTTGCTTGTGTTGCAGTCGAAACGTCGTGAGAATTTTTATTGTTTTATATTTGTATTATTTTATTATTTCCCTTCTACGTGACTTTACCGAAAGAACCAAGAATATGGATCCCTGCAGTCACGAAAGCTTTAAATCAAAATGTACGGTTACATTGTTGATAATGATAGTGGTTGTGTTGGGGTTACGTTTTATTTTTGTATCTGCAAGTTCTGGTTAGACGTTAAAGTTAGCCTCGAGTGAGCGTTAAAGTTAGGAGGGTTAGTGTAATGGGTAAGGGGTTTCATATCTGGTAAGTGCTAGGGTTAGTGGTGGCGCTAGTTTTAGTATCTGGTTAGTGAGTTAGGGTTAATATCGGGGGCTAGGTTAATTAGTCATGGTTAGTGTTACGGGATATGGTTAGTGTGGGGGGTTATTGCCAACATCTGGTTAGTATTAGCATTGTAAATGGTTGATGAGTTTGATGAGTCGGCTGATAATCGTGTTGAGGGAATGTCTGTGTTACATCCCTCAGTGTCGCCAAACACCAGTCATCACCATCAGCCATTATCTATCTACTGCTGGATGAAGGCCTCACAACAATACGGTATTACAATTTTCATTTAAACTAAATACGCATCAGAACCACGAATTTTTTGGTTAAATGTTCGTGTTTTTTGTCCACTAAAACTCGTAATATTTTTTTTAAAAAACGCTAAATTTAAACATCATTTAATTATTACACTGCTACACCTCGGAACTCGGCTCACGGGCCACGCCGACTTCGGCGTCACGCTCCAAGGTGGGCGAATTACTCGGTCCACTAATGGGTGATATGCCAGGTCCTGCCCTGGGACCAGGCAACCAAATCCATACTCCGAAGCGTACCTGTTTTTGGTAACCTAAATTATATTATTTTTTAAAGTTTATAATTCATTTGCACAGATTCGTATGAATGTGTACCAAATGTCCGTGTTCGATTCCGTTAGAGAACATCAATAGAGTAGACTGTGTATACCTTATCCCAGGACGAGATTCGAACTCGGTTCGCCGGGTTCGTAGCGTGGCGCGCTAACCACTACACCCACCGCTCCCCACAAGCGTTGATGGCTCACACACGCACGCACACACCGACAAGTACTGTTCGCGAGTACCTATTAAGGCCGGCACAGCACACCAGGGAATTGGGAGCCAAGCGCCACACCGGGCAACATTTGCCTCTCCATTGATGATGTGTACACAGTGGCCAGCACCAGTAGCGATGTTTACACACCGCACCAGTGACTCATTTGAAGCTGAGTCGACCTTGGGGAAAGTCCACCATCGGTTCAGATAATCGTCACTGGTGTTGGCCGTGAGCGGGAAGCGAACTCAGACACACGTGTACACACACATGCACAGACACACGCACAGACACACGCACAGACACACGTGTACACACACACGCACAGACACACGCACAGACACACGCACAGACACACGTGTACACACACACGCACAGACACACGCACAGACACACGCACAGACACACGCACAGACACATGCACAGATACACGCACGTACACACGTGTACACACACACGCACAGACACACGTGTACACACACGCACAGACACACGTGTACACACACGCACAGACACACGTGTACGAAGACAAAGATCCCCCGTATAGCCTTAACATACTTTTGGGGCAAGTGCTGTTAGATACTCATTTGATGCTGAGTCGACCTAGAGGAGGCCGAAGACCGGTTCAGATAATCGTCACCGCGTGTTGATCGTGAGCGGGAATCGAACTCGGGTCGCCGGGTTCGTAGCGCAGCGCGCTGACCGCTACGCTACGCCTATGACGACAACTTTTATCGTGCAATAATTAGCGATGACGTCACCACGGCGCTTGTGCCAGGCCAGGTGCACACATGCAGTGTGCAAGGCTCGTTCCTTCGCTTCTTCGGAGGTCACGGGACAGACCCAGCAGGTGCCATGGGTTGACTGCTGTGCCAGGCTAGGTGCATGAGGAGGAGGTCACGGGACAGACCCAGCAGGTGCCATGGGTTGACTGCTGTGCCAGGCTAGGTGCAGGAGGAGGTCAGGGCACAGACCCAGCAGGTGCCATGGGTTAACTGAGATGGCAGGTGCATCACCTGTGCTCCCGCTGTGCCACAAACAACACATTTACAATAAAACATACACAACTACACAAGAGACATATACACATACAAAGATACCCCGTATAGCCTTAACAGACTGTAGGGGCAAGTGCTGTTAGCGAGCACCTATGAAGGCCGGAGCGGTACACGAGGGGGTGGGTGGCCTGCACCACGCCCGACCGCCTTTGTCTCCCCAGTGGCGATGTTTACACACCACACCAGGTACTCATTTCAGGCTGAGTCGACCTCACATCACAACACACACGTTTAAGTGAAAGAGTCTGTGGTTAATCCACTGCTGGATGGGACACTGATTGGCAATGGCAGGTGCTGTACGTATGGGATGCGAGGTGATAGGGAGATAGATGGCAGTAGATGGATTGTTGGATCTATCTGTGCGGAGCGTGGGTGTGTATCATTATTAGCGAGTTGATTACATCACAATTAATTAATATTGTATTTTATTACATTTAATTTTTATTATTTTATTATTTCCCTTCTACGTGACTTTACCGAAAGAACCAAGAAGATAATATTAGTCTGTCGACCTATCGGCCTTCCCTACGTATACGTATCATCATTATTTGTCATGCCCAATTAACTGCTGGATGAAGGCCTCCCAGAGCTTTTGTCATCTCTCACCATCCTCCACCTGCACGCGAAGTGATTCCATCGCTCCATCTCCACGTTTGAGGTCCTCTCGGACACACGCGTTCCATTCCTTCAAAGTGTGTTAGTTGGCATGTATCGGGTAAATATAACTTATTTCGCACCAACCGTGCTAATCGAACCTCTTGGGAATGTTTCAACTCTGCACCGATATAACCACAACAATTTAACTCGACGCACTCGCAAAAAAAACCGACAGATCCTAAACGACGTCATTAATGCTGCGTTGAGTAAGACACAGATCATCATTATTATAATTTACGTACCCCGATTAAGCGCATTTCATCTTGTGATCAGAACTACGGTCTCATCTGACCTATACTCTTTGGTTCTATCGGTAAAGTCACGTAGGGAAAAAAATAAAATAAAAAAGTAAATTAAATCACGACGTTTCGATTGCAACACAAGCAATCATCATCAGGTGTGAAAATCACAGCTAGAATTGTTTTTACTGATCTCGCAAGCTCAGCAGCGTTGGCTTGGATGGTGCACCTCGAGGTGCTATAGGCTGTGGTGTCACGTAAGCCTTGTTTAACAATCATCAGACGCGTGAAGCGTGAAACACTTGGGAGGCAGCGCGTATTTGTATGTTGTACTTAGTATACGTCGCCTGGTGATGGTGGTTGTTGAAATTACCAGCGAAACGTCACGGTTCTAGAATTGTAATTGTTGTGGAATTACTCTTCAACGCACCCGTGTGTTGCAGAGTAAACCCACAACATCTACACAACGGTGCTAGAATTGTAATTCTTGTGGATTTACTCTTTAACACACCCGTGTGTTGCAGAGTAAACCCACAACATCTACACAACGGTGCTAGAATTGTAAATGTTGTGGATTTACTCTTTAACGCGCCCGTGTGTTGCAGAGTAAACCCACAAGATTTACACAAAGGTGCTGTAATTGAAAATGTTGTGGATTTACTCTCTAACGCATCCGTGTGTTGCAGAGTAAACTCACAACATCTACACAACGGTGCTGGAATTGAAAATGTTGTGGATTTACTCTTTAACGCATCTGTGTGTTGCAGAGTAAACCCACAACATTTACACAACGGTGCTAGAATTGTGAATGTTGTGGATTTACTCTCTAACACGCCGGTGTTGTTTAACTAGTGACGGATGATCACCTTCTGTTCACGTGACCAAACCTCACTAATTGGCCGTGTCGGGTGGTGGCGGGTTTAACGACACATTCATATTTTTACACGCGATCTCACCCAAAACACATAATCTATCATGGATATGTATGTACGTATGTATTATATGTGCTTGTATGTTTAAGTGAGTGTATTAGATTTTTTTTAGTGGGGAGCGGTGGCGCAGTGGTTAGCGCACCGCGCCGCGAAACCCGACAGAGTTCGATTCCCGGGCCACGGCTAACGTCAGTGAACCAGATCATTAAACCGGCGCGGTGAAGTATGGTCAAATTATACAAATGACCGAGGCCCCCGTCCAACCACGATGTATCCATTTGTGCAGGTGTAGTGAGACAAAGACGACCGGGCGTGTCGCCAACTCAATACGCCTTGTCGGCCATCATTGGCAGTGCTTGCCCCTAACGGTCTGTTAAAGGCTATCGATAGGGGGGGTTCTTTGTGATTAGCTATATGTGTATCGCCAGCCACGATCAATACACTGCTGGATGAAGGCTTCCCCGAGCTGCCGATCCACCCACAACGCTCCATCTCCCGCTGCAGTCGTACTCGCGGACGCGTTTCGTTCCATCGCTCGTGCAATGTTCCGTGTTTACGATTGTTTTTTTTTTCAATGTAATCACCGCAACAATCATGATTATCGATAACTGTACAAGGCTTCCGATCGCTAATGCTTGCAAATCACGCGCGATCTGATTTCATCGCTCCATCTCCCCTCAGACGCGTTACGGATCATGTCAATTATTGCATACGAGGCAAATATTAACACAGAGCGATGTGCAATTTAATATCTCAAACACGCCACGCTATAACACATCAGACATTTGAGTGTAAATTCGAAACGAGACGCGTCGGAAGATTTTCCCGCCAGATTTAAACATTTTCCCGCCATTTTTTAAATGTCCCGCCCGACAATGTCCCGCCTCCCGCCGGTCTCTCCACCAATCAGCGCGCCCGATCGTTGCTCCGCCAGATAACATTTTACCCGCCAATATTTTTTCCCGCTAAATTTGTTTTTGTATTTCTCCTGCCGTGCCAAGCCCGTTCCTTGTAATTTGTTTTCTTTTCCTATTACATTTTTTTACTTCCTCCACCATTCGGTTGTCGTCCCATCCCGTCAGACATAACTTCTATTTAGTTAAACAACTATTTCCCCTCACCCCCGTCAACCTTTCCGGCTGTATCCCGTCACCGTCCGCTCCTTTCCCGCCAAAACTGAGCCGAGTCACGTGCGCGTCTATACAAAGATCACCCGTGTAGCCTACAGAGACAGCCGGGGGCAAGTGCAGTGCTTCTCTCACACACACACACTGCGCGATAAACTCATTAGTCGTGCTTTGAAGAAGGGGCATTGCGCGAAACGTCGCACATATATCTATTGAGGCAGCGTTATCGACGAATTTGTTATTTCTGACCCAAGTCCCCTAGGCCGACTCAGCCTTAACCGAGTTCCTGGTGTGGCGTGCAAACAATCAGTACCGGGGAGACAAAGGCGGCCGGGCGTGGGTATGGCCGCATCAGCTGGGAGCTGGCTGGCTTACAGCACCTGCCCCAACATTCTATGTAAAGGGGTGGGGGGGTCTTTGTGTGAACTTCGCGCGTACACAATTTTTAAATCCTTTATATTAAGTTCGCTT